GTTTTTGTTGTTGAGTTCTGGTTTTAATGCATTGTGATCAGATAGAATGCATGGTGTTATTTCTATTTTCTTATATTTGCTGAGGCCTGTTTTGTGCCCTAAGATATGATCAGTTTTGGAGAAGGTTCCATGAGCTGCTGAGAAGAATGTATATTGTGCAGAAGTTGAATGAAATATTCTGTAGACATCAGCTAGGTCCATTTGATCTATGGTGTGATATAGATCTAGGATTTCTTTATTGATTTTTTTGTTTGGATGACCTATCTGTTGGTGATAGGGAGGTATTAAAATCTCCCACTACCACTGTGTTGGAGTTTATATATGTTTTTAGGTCCTTCAGGGTATATTTGATGAAATTGGGTCCATTGACATTGGGTGCATATAGGTTGATAATTGTTATTTCCATTTTGTGTATTTCCCCTTTTATTAGTATGGAATGTCCTTCTTATCTTGGTTGATCAACGTAGGTTTGAAGTTTACTTTGTCTGAGATAAGTATTGCTACTCCTGCCTGTTTTCAGGGGACACTGGGTTGGTAAATCTTCTTCCAGCCTTTCACCCTAAGCCAGTGCTTGTTTCTGTTGATGAGATGGGATGGGTCTCCTGTAAGCAACAGATTGTTGGATCTTGTTATTTAATCCAGTTTGTCAAATGGTGTCTTCTGATGGGGGAGTTAAGTCCGTTAACATTAAGTGTTAGTACTGATAGGTATGTGGTGATTCCTGTCATTTAGTTGTCTTTGTGTTTAAGGGTTTGATTGTGTGCAGATGAATCAAAGTTACTCTCTACTTTCTTGTCTTTTCTTCTCCTATGGTTTGGTACTGCCTGTCCTTTCATGGTTTTTTTGTGCTTTCATTTTCTGTGTGCAGGATTCCTTGAAGAATCTTTTGTAATGGTGGCTTGGTGGTCATATATTGTTTTAGTTTCTGCTTATCATGAAAGACTTTTATTGCTCCATCTATTTTGAATGATAGTTTTGGTGGGGAGAGTATCCTAGGGTTGAAGTTACATTCATTTAGCCTGGAATATCTCACTTCATGCTATTCTTGCTTTTAATGTTTCCGTTGAGAAATCTGCTGTGATTTTGATGGGTTTACCTTTGTATGTTATTTGTTTTTTCTCTCTTACAGCCTTCAGTATTCTTTCTCTAGTCTCTGTGCTTGTTGTTTTAATGATAATATGTCCTGGGGTAGTTCTATTTTGGTCAAGTGTGTTTGGTGTCCTGGAGGCTTCCTGTATCTGAATGGGCATAGTTTTCTCTAGATTTGGGAAATTTTCTGTTATTATTTTGTTGAATATATTATGAATTCCTTTTGCTTGCACCTCTTCTCCTTCTTCAATGCCCATGATTCTCAGGGTTGATCTTTTGATGGAGTTGGTGAGTTCTTGCGTATTCCTTTCACAGGTTTTGAGTTGTTTGACTAATAGTTCTTCAGTTTTTCCGTTAATTTCCATTCCATCTTCAAGTTCTGAGATTCTGTCTTCTGCTTGCTCTAGTCTGCTAGAGTGGCCTTCCATGTGTCTTGTATTTCTGTTTCATTCTTTTCCTGAGGTTTTCCATATCATGGGTCACTTCCTCTTTAATATTGTCAATTTTTATCCTTAATTCATTATCTCTCTATTTACAGTGTTCTCTGTTTCACTTTGGTATTTATTTAGTGCTCCTATGAGTTTGCTTATTTGTTTTTATGTCTTCTCATGTTATTTTTGTTCTCTTGGTATTTCTTGAGCACCTCCTGTACATTTTGGTTGACCTTGTCTAGTAACATCTCCATGAAATTCTCAGTGATTTCTTGCAGGATTTCTTCTTTTAGGAGGCTTTCTGGTAGGCTTCATTGGGTTCCTTGGGATAGTCTATCTTTGTTTTGTTGGGGTCTGGAACTTGGTATCCATTTTCTTTATTTCCCTCTGAATCCCGTACTGTTGGTCTGCAGCCCCCAAACAGGTTTGGAGCTGGTGTGTGGAGGCACAGCATTCCTCCTGTTTTCTCAGTGTAACGTGGTGTGGAGAAGCTTTGTACATGCTGGGGGTTTGGGGTGTGGGAGTTTTGCTTCTTCTTGGTGTTTTTTTTCTGCCAAGTGTGGCTCCAGCATCTCAGCAAGATTTTTTTTTTATTCCTATGTGCATACAATGTTTGGGTCATTTCTCCCCCCTCCCCCCACCCCCTCCCTTACCACTCACCCCACCCCGTCCCTCTCCCCCCCACCCCCTCGATACCCGGCAGAAACTATTTTGCCCTTATCTCTAATTTTGTTGTAGAGAGAGTATAAGCAATAATAGGAAGGAACAAGGGTTTTTGCTGGTTGAGATAAGGATAGCTATACAGGGAGTTGACTCACATTAATTTCCTGTGTGTGGGTGTTACCTTCTAGGTTAATTCTTCTTGATCTAACCTTTTCTCTAGTTCCTGCTCCCCTTCTCCTATTGGCCTCAGTTGCTTTTAAGGTATCTGCTTTAGTTTCTCTGTATTGAGGACAACAAATGCTATCTAGTTTTTTAGGTGTCTTACCTATCTTCATATCTCCCTTGTGTGCTTTCGCTTTCTCATGTGATCAAAGTCCAATCCCCTTGTTGTGTTTGCCCTTGATCTAATGTCCGCATATGAGGGAGAACATACGATTTTTAGTCTTTTGGGCCAGGCTAACCTCACTCAGAATGATGTTCTCCAATTCCATCCATTTACCAGTGAATGATAACATTTCGTTCTTCTTCATGGCTGCATAAAATTCCATTGTGTATAAATACCACATTTTCTTGATCCATTCATCAATAGTGGGTCATCTTGGCTGTTTCCATAACTTGGCTATTGTGAATAGTGCCGCAATAAACATGGGTGTGCAGGTGCCTCTGGAGTAACCTGTGTCACAGTCTTTTGGGTACATCCCCAAGAGTGGTATTGCTGGATCATATGGTAGATCAATGTTTAGATTTTTAAGTAGCCTCCACATTTTTTTCCAGAGTGGTTATACTAGTTTACATTCCTACCAGCAGTGTAAGAGGGTTCCTTTTTCCCCACATCCTCGACAGCACCTGTTGTTAGTGGTGTTGCTGATGATGGCTATTCTAACAGGGGTGAGGTGGAATCTTAGTGTGGTTTTAATTTGCATTTCCTTTATCTCAGCAAGATTTTTGATTTACGGATCTCATGCTGTCTGCTTCCGCCCTCTAGTCACCATCTTGGATGCCCTCGAGTAGTGCTTCTTCTCTGAAACTGGGTGCATTTACATTTGGTGTGTATATGTTTAGAATAGTTAAGTCTACTTGATGAATTGTTCCCTTTATCAATATAAAATGACTTTCTTTGCCTCTTCTGACTAATTCGGGTTTGAATTCAGATGTGTGGTTATTTCTGCTTGTTTTCATGGTCTGTTTGCTTGGAAGATCTTTTCTCATCTTTTCATTTTAGGCATGTGTTTATATTTGTTAGTGAGGTGTGTTTCTTGTAGACAACAAATGGTTGGGTCATATTTTTAGCCCAGTTCACCAGTCTGTGTTTTTTGATTGGAGAATTGAGGCCATTATCATTCAAAGTTGTTATCAAAAGGTAATTGAGGTAGTTTCTGCCATTTTGTTGTTTTTATAATGTTTGGTTCTTCCCTGCTCCTCAGTTGTTTTTCTGCTTGTCTGGTGAGATTTATTTTCCTTCTATTCTCATGGTTGCATTTATCTCCTCTTGTGTTTAGACTATCTTTAAGTACCTTCTGCAGTGCTGGGTTAGCTTTTGTTGATCATGGAAGATTTTTTTTTATTTCTTCTTCAATTATGAACAGTAGTTTTGCTGGGTAGAGTAGTCTAGGGTGGCAGTTTTTTTTTTTTTTTTCAGAGCTTGAAATCCATCATTCCATGCCCTCCTTGCTTTTACAGTTTCTGCTGAGAAATCAGCTGTTATTCTAATGGGTCTGCCTTTATAATTGACTTGGTGCTTTTCCCTTGCAGGTTTCAATAACTCTTCTTGTTCTCTATACATAGTATTTTAACTATAATGTGATGTGGGAAAGTTCTAATCTGGTCTTACCTTTTTTGGAGTCCTAATGGCCTCCTGTACTTGGATGAACATCTCTTTCTCAATATTTGAGAAGTTTTCTGCTATTACTTTTTTTGAATATGTTTCCTATAGCTTGTACTTCTTCTCCTTCTATGCCCATGATGCACCTGTCCATTCTTGAGAGGAATTGATTCAGAAGTTATCCATCAACACTCTGATCTGCCTTTTTTTAGTATAAAAAACAAGCCTTAGGTGGTAAAAATCTCCCAAAATGGCAGCTGCCATTATAGTTCCTCTGAGAATTAAGGGTTAGCCTGGAACTGACCTAATGGCTCTCCCCATCTCCAGTGTGCACTATGTCCTGATCAGAGTCTGTCACAGCATTCACACCATAGAGTATCTGCTGTTGGTAGAATACAGTTTACAGCACAAAGCAGCACCTCACCAGGGCACTTTAGCTTAGTGTAGATTTAACTCAGTATGAAACAGCAAAGAAGAACCAAAACTCATCTGTATGTGATGTGAATTAACAATCTTCTATTTCTGGAAGTAAATAAGGAGAAAATAGTTAAAGGTTTTTGCTTGCCTCACAGTTAGTATCCCCCAATAGTTTTTACTGTTACATGCAGTCATCCCCTTGGTATCATTGGATTGGTTCCAAGACCCACCCCCCTACTTGAACACCAAAATCTGAGGATGCTTAAGTCCCTTATATAAGATGGGTAGTATTGTATATAAGCTGCACGCACATCTGACTACTTTAAATTATCTCTAGAGTATGACAGTACATAATACAGTATAAATGCTATAGAAGTAGTTGTACTGTATTTTAAAATTTGTGTTATTTTTGTTTTATTATTTTTTACTCTTTTTAAAAATAGTTTTGTTTTGGGGTTGGTTGAGTCCCTGCATGAGGAGCTGTTGGTTGATACTGAGGGCTCACTGTACTTAAGGACAGTGAAGACAGCTTGCATTAGAAACATGCCTGAGACCGGCCATTGCACTGTGTGTTACAGGGTTGCCTCAACATTGGCAAGACGGAAAGAGAATGAACGCAACACTGACTGTTCACTGTGCAGACCACAGAGCCAGACCTTGGTGCTAAGAAGGAGTATGCTCTGAGAGTCCGATCCTATCCATGAACCATAATAAACAGATTACACGACACAGTTTACAGTGTGCCTTAACAGATTTTTTCCAATACCTGCACTTTCTTTTCACTGAAGTAGATAAAGAAAAAGCCTGAGAGTCCTACAGTGGTGCCCAGAAGTCCCAGATGTGGACTGTTTGTGCGATTGAGTTCCAGGGAGATGAATGACAAGTTCACACCAGCCTAGCATTTCCATGCTCCTTACCTCAGGATTGTTCCAAGTACTCAGTGAAGGATGCAGTGGGCCAGGAAGTGAGGGAGGTGAGTTGGGGTCCTCTTTCCCCAGGGTTTTGGGTACTGGAAAGTCCTTTCTTGTTTTCATTCCCATTGTCTCCTAGTGGCCATGATGTCCACCTTCCCAAGAGACCTTGTGTCTGGTTTTAAGTTTTCTCCAAGCATACTTACCTGCACTGTGAAAGAGAGTGGCTTTCCATGACTCTGGTCAGGGTGTGGCAGTCAGAGGCTCCTGAAGCGGGTGGGGGTATTTTCTATCAGTGTGCTGTGATTTGCTGGGACTATGCTCATGGTGTATGCATGTGTGCTAGCCTCGTGCTGCCGAAATTCATCTCAGGTGATGACCCAGAGGCTAGGGGAGTGTTAAAATTTGTATAAGTGTCCCCCAAAGGCCCAAGTGTTGAAGGCTTGGTCCCCAGGGTGGTCTTATTTGGAAGTGGTGGAGCCTTAAGGAGGCCGGGCCTAGTAGGTGGTCCTTAGGTCATTGGAGGTGTGCCCTGAATGGAGTGTGGGACACTTGTCTTTCCTCCTTCCGTTTTGCTCTCTAATTGTGATGTAAGTAGTTTTGCTTTTCCATGTGCTCTTGCCATGATGTGCTGCCTCACCACAAGCAAAAAGCAATAGACCAAACCAGTAACAGACCGATACCTCCAAATCTGTGAGCCAAAATAAACCTTTTCTCTTTGTAAGTTGATTCTGTCAGGTTATTTCAGTACAGTGGAGGAAAGCTAGATAGCACAGTCAGGTTCTGTGAGAGGCCTGTGCTTGTGTCCTAGGTAAGGGCCCCACATTCTAGGCATAAGTTGGCACTTAGGAGTTTACGAGCTTTCCACAGCAATTAAGGGATACTTAAATTACAAAAGTTGATAACTCGCGTTTGTAATTAATGGTGACTTTCTCCTTCAGCAATTGCTATCAAAAGAGAGCTGGAGTATCCATCCTGAGGAGAAATGTGGATTTTGTTTCTTGGGGAGGGCACATTCACTCCTATGCTACAGGCTGGAGCGGAATATGTGTGGACAAGTACTAAGATTGAGGAAGGGCAGCCTTACATTTTGCAGGAGCAGGGCACATCTGAGTTGGGCAGGAAACATGAGGAAAGGACAGTGACACAGAGGTTCCAGATATCACTTAGCTATGGATGACCTTAAAGTTGAGTCCAAATCCTGTCTGAAGGTGCACAACCCGATCTGGCAGGAGTTTCTGGAGACCAAGAAGCATTTGACAAGGTGAAGGATGGTTCAGAGAGAAGGCCAGGGAGGACCTGGCCCAGGGTCTTTACCTTCTCTGCCTGTTGTCACTGCATGTAGTCTGCAGCCAGACTCTTCTTGCCACCTGCTGTGTGAGAAGCCAGGGAACAGACCTTAGTGACTTTAAACCAGTGACACCATCAGTTATGTGAAGGAAAGAACTCCAAGTACCCAAGGGCGAGAGGGGTGGGTTGATAGAAGCCCTGCAGAGCAACGTGGGCAGATGTGTCCCAAGCAAACAGGTTGCCTGTTCTGTCACTTCAAAGTTGCTGTGCCTGTTGTTGCTTCCTGCAGTTTGGTTTGCATCAGGGTGTTTAGGAAGGTCACTTTTCCACTCATGTTCGTGCAGTCTCAAGCACAGTGCATTCAGCCAGTATTGGAAGAGAGCACGTCCTGGGACGTCAGGTGGATTAAGATGAGGGCAGTAGGGAAGGAGAAGTTATTCTGGGGATCGAGGCCATTCATCTTTAGGAGGATAGAAAGAACTTTGCTCTCTTCCTGACTGAGGCAGTAGTATAAGATTGAGGCCTTTGCAGGCTGGCTGCTCAGCGTGCCTCTGACCCCATTCTCTGCTTCGTCATCTTCATCTGCACAGTGAAGGTGGCAGGGGTTCTTGCCTTGTCGGGATGCTGCAGGAGAAGTTCAGGCTCTGCAAAGCGTTTAGCTCCATGCTTGGCACATAGCAGCTAACCAGTAAACATGCTCGTCACGAAGCAAGACAGGAGAGCATAAAGAGAGTGAGACCTCCTCTGTCCCACCATCTGCTGTGCGCTGAGCCCTTCCAGACAGTCCTCCGTCAGTGCAGACACCGGTGCACAGTGGTGGACTTGTTTGCCTGGCCCCCTTCTGCTGAAGATGACTCCACTGGGGTTTCAGGCCTGGAAATGCTAAGGAACTGGTCTCCTGTCAGGCACAGGGCCTCTGTGAAGGTCTGCTTCCTGGTGGTGACCTGGGGGGTGCAAGTTTGAAGTAACGCCTCCATCTTGCCTGCACAAAGCACCTGGTGGAGGAGGAAGCCAGAAACCAGCCCGGCCAGAACCACAGAGGGCCAGAGCCTGAGGGTCCCCTGTCTGCACCCTGGGATCAGGGCTACAGGAACCAATAAAATTCCCACCCTCCCCCCCTTTCCTTTCCTTTCTCCCTCCCTCCCTTCCCCCCCTTTCTTCTTCTCTCCGTTCATCCCTTCCTCTCTCCATCCTCTCCTTCATCCCTCTCTTGTCTAAGTTGAGTTTCTCGACACTCAAGTGAAAGAGCCTTGACTAAGTCAAATAACAAACCTACGTTAGAATCTTTACACAGGCTGGTAACTTCTTCACTTAATACATGGAACATGTCATTTTTTTTTCTTTCTGATTATAAGCAAGCACACATACACTGAAAAGAAATTTGGGCTGGGGATGTGGTCAGTGGTAAAGCATTTGCCTAGCATGTACAAGGCCCTGGGTTCAAGCCCAGCACACAAGACAAAAAAAGAATTTTGAAATTAAGCGTACACAAAGAAATTCATATTTAGTACCAGTCACTATTCAAAGGCAATCCCCATCAACATACTTTATAGTAATTTATTTTCATGTCATTTAAATATACCCAGCTGGGGGGAGGTGGCACAAACCATGTATACACTTGTAAGTAAATGTAAAAACGACAAAAGAAAAGAAAAGAAAAAATATATACCTGGCTGCTTAATCTTTTATTTGCATGTGTAGGCCATCATTTATTCAAACAGTCCAAGCAAGAAAGAGCCCAAGTGGCAGAAAGCGGGGAGCCGTCCGGGATGGGCGATGGGTGATGGGCGGGACAAGGTGGGGGAACCTGTTTCCCTGCGTCTTTTTCTTCTGCTGACCATGTGCTCGTCATTAGGAAAATAAAGTAAGAATCATGCTGCAAAATTACATGCTTTTCCCTAAGTAAGTACAATCGAGCCCCTCACAAGGATGTTTGAACATTTTAATACCCGTATGAACAAACTCCTCTACGTGAGAAGTTATGACAAAAATGTACAGCAGTCCAGTTATCCAGGTTTCATCAGAACTAGGTGAACAGCTTCTCCAGAAACAGCATCTGTCTTGTTTCCTCATTGTTCCGGGACAACACAGTCCCAGAGTGTGGGAACCAGCCACAAGGTGCTGAGAGATGAGGAAAGACTCAGACGGATCCAGGGTTCAAGTGCAATCTGTGGGGGCCTTGCAGGCAGCAGGGAGACCATGGATCCCGGGCTTTGGTCAGAGGGAGGAGACAGAGTCAGGACAAGAGGGACTTAACCTGCAAAGCATCTGGCTTATCAAAGATACTATGAAGGACACTGGTTGGTCATGCAGAGATCAGGAGGATCACGGTTCAGAGCCAGCCAAAGCAAATAGTTCATGAAGCCCCATCTCAAAAATCCCTGCACATAAATAGGGCTGTTGGAGTGGCTCAAGGTGAAGGTCCTGCGTTCAAGACCCAGAACCGCAAACAAAACAAAACAAAAAGCTATCAAGGACGTCAGCACAGTTCCAGTGCTGGGTCCAGGTCATACAGAAAGCCACACATACCACTCAGCTGGCTTTGTTTTGGTATGCTGGGACACTAGTGGGGAAGTTGACCAGGACTACTCTGCCAGTCATAGCAGTTATGACTCAAGATGGCACACACAGGTCATGTTGGAGTCCTATGTGTGCTTAGTTGAGGCAAAATGCACATCACACAAAAAAACTTACCATTTTGAACATTTCTGATGTTTTTCACACGGGGCCTTGTGTATAGTCCAGACTGGCTTCAAACGCACGGTCCTCCTGCCTCAGTCTCCCAAGTGCTGGGACTACAGGCACGTGCCACCACAACCAGCCATCTTGAACTCTTTTAAGTGTACAGTCAGTGATATTAAATAACCCAAGTAATATCATGCAACTATCACCACAGCCCACCTCCACAACACTTTCAGCTTCATAAACTAAAACTCTCAGTACCCATTAAACACTAACTCCCCATGGCCCCTGCCTTTTTTTTCTTTTTTCTGTACTGGGGTTTGAACTCAGGGCTTAGCACTTGCAAAGCAGGCACTCTACCACTTGAGCCACACCTCCAGTATATTTTTCTCTGGTTATTTTGGAGATGGGGGGTCTCCAGAATTACTTGCCCCAGCTGACTTTGAACCAAGCCTCCTGATCTCAGCCTCCTGAGTAGCTAGAATTATAGGCATGAGCCACCGGTGCCCAGTTTTAACCTATCTATGAATTTGACCACATATAAGTGGAACCTTATATAAGTGGAATCATATGGCATTTTCCCTTTGAAATTGGCTTATTTCACTTAGCACAGTGTCTTCAAGTTTCATCCCTGTTGTAGTGTGTGTCAGGATGTCCTTCTTTTGTTAAGACCAACTAATATTCCACTTCATGTAAATGTCTGCTGATGAGCGCTGGATTGATGCCCTTTTTGGCTGTTGTAACGCTGCTGAAAATGTGGGTTTACAGATTCCTGTTTAAGGCCATTTTAGATTCTTTTTGGCATATGCTCAAGAAGAATCCTATGGTAATTCTGTTTCAAAATTCTGAAGGCTTGCATGATTTTATAATCCCCCAACTGTGCACAAGGGCTGTGACTTCGTCACTTCCTCATAAGCAAGCCATTTTAATGACTTCAGTATTGGAATATTGGAAAGGATCATGTTTGTACCTGTTCCCTATTGTTGTTCCTTTGGGTTGTTTCATCTCAACAGTATTAACACTGCTTTAACTGACATCACTGTCTCTATTTTTGGATGCTTGTCCAAGTTTCCTCTCAGTGGCACCCTGTACGTTAGCTAATTGAAGAGGTTGGGCACTGCCAAGTTACTCTTTAGAAAAGAGGCATGGTGTTTAAGATGTCCTCATTTCTGCATTTCACCAACCCTGGCGAGCACCCTCCTCTGTGTGTCTTCAGGCTCTCGCTGAACCACGAGCCCGTGTTACTTTATAAATAGCTAATTCAGAGTTCCCTTCCCCATTCTCACAGC